TGCCCACATAGATCCCATAAAGGTCCCGTATGTTCAAACCTATATGGGACCCACATTGTGAAACACACATGGGGCCCACATAAATTGCCCATTTTCAGCCCATGCCCACACGGAACCCATGCTGCCCAGGCATAACCCATATGGGGCCCACATATCAATGTTGGCTGGGCAGTGTCCGAATTCACTACTCGTTTTCATTCACTCCTTCTAGTGAACTGAATTAGTGACCTAATGTAGGGAATAGTGAATGAGGGTATAGGGGGCGATTTCGGACACAGCCCCTGAATTCAAGTATATTCAAATGGTCTCTGTTATCCCATTTCCAGCATAAAGGGGAAGGGGTAGGGGAAGTCGTGACCTAATGGTTAGAGAGTTGGACTCGTAACCCAAAGGTTGCGGGTTCGAGTCTCGTACCGGCAGGGATTGTAGGTGGGGGGAGTGAATATACAGCGCTCTCTCCCACCTTCAATACCACAACTGAGTCCCCAACTGCTCCCCGGGTGCCGCAGCAAAAATAATGGGTGTGTGTTCACGGTGTGTGTGTTCACTGCTGTGTGTGTGCACTTTGGATGGGTTAAATGCAGAGCACTAATTCCAAGTATGGGTCACCATGCTTGGCCACATGTCACATGTCACGTCACTTCATAAAGTGTTTGATCTCTTATATTTGACAGGGGAGCCGCGAACCTCAGACCATCGCCGTGCTTTTCACTCATAGCTGAAATATAGCCTATTTATGCATTCTGACAGAGACTTCCGTCAAGAACGACAAACATTAGATATTATTTTAACTGCAATCAAAAATAAGTAGCACATATACTAGTTAGTTTTATAAAACGAATGTTAAAATGGCATGCCAAACTCCGTTCGTCCCTTTAGCGCTGCACCGAGCACGAGTCGCACGAGAGTTCGCGCGCGCTGAGGAAGGAGCGCAACTGTTTTTTGCCACGAAATGGAAATGAAAGACGGGAAAAGGTGGTCTCTCTCTGAGCGATCAAGATGTATTAGTGCGATGAGTCACTTTTGAGATACACGAGAATATCGGGTCATTGCAGAGGCTGATGTAAAGCCCTGTATATAGTAACGTGATCTACACATACACCTAGAACATAGAAAGTACTTTAATAGTGTTTTCCGAGAAATGCGCCCAATAACACTCATAATTAGTTCTTCCCGGAATCTGCGCCAACAGAATTCCATAGAAAGTTCCGCAGATTTCCAGAGAATTCCAGTGCCCCTCATTTACAGTTCTACACACCCCCACCATCGCGTGCTGCTTTTGGTTTATTCGATGTATTTACCAAATTTAAATCATATCGACAGAATTCTCCTGGTTTTTACCCACAAACGCATGTAATGTGAGAAGGTGTAATTAATGCACAGAGGAGGACTAAAAAATTCTGTATAGGCTACCTATTGATGATCCATACAGCTTTATACAGGCAAACAGACGAACCCAGAATATAAACGCACTTTCGGTCCTTCAGTATAACTGTCTTAATACATTAAGTAACGTTTGCTTTTTCGTTAAAATGGCAGAAAACCCTTAACGTTACTTTTTTTGTGTGTGTTGCATTCACTGGGGGTTAATTTCTTGCCTGTAGCCAACACTCTAAAAAATGCTGGGTTGTTTTAACCCAACGTTGGGTCAAATATGGACTAACCCAACTGTTGGCTTAAATTTTTCAATTACATTTTTAACCCAAAAATTGGGTTAGTCCATATTTGACCCAACGTTGGGTTAAAACAACCCAGCATTATCAATTAATCAATAATCAATCAATAATAATGTGTAGGCTACCGAATTTAGTCCTCCGATAACATCTTTTATCATATAGCTATAGCTACTAAGCCATGTTTTTCACGTTAAGCGATTAGAATGTTCCAGAAAGTGCGCAAAACCACAAGGATCTATCAATAAATATGTGAAAAATGTACCGTTTGTTTCTCGCAAAGGATTTTACTTGAAAATTAATCAGTCTCGTTATAGGATTGTTCAACCTATACATTTAAAGACACTCAATAATAAGATGCATCTCCTTAAGACAGATTTAGATAGAAACCGAGGGGATGTTCTCAGAACGTTTTGAGAAAGTCAACGATTCCTCTCAAAGTTATGAACAACCGTTCTTTCAGTAACGTTAATACAATGTTTGTTCAAAGTTATCCGTTCTTTAGTAATGTTCTCAAAACGTTAGCACAAAAACATTTTTATACATCATATGGAAAGTTTTTCCGAAACATTTTAGATGGATGTTCGTTCAACATTTTTTTACCTGTTTAAGAATAAAACTTTCCTAACAATGTTTGCAAAATTATAAAATGTTCTGTTCGCATAAAAAAAAAAAAGCTTTATGGGAATGTTAGCAAAAACGTTCTTTGTAGACATTCTTTTTAGATAGACATATTTTCTTTATTTAAAAAATCTTTATAAAAACTTTCTAAAAAACATTTTGTTCTGAGTTCTTCTGGATGAATTGGCTCTTCTCTTCTCTGATCTCAACAGTCAAAGCTGATCTCAAAAAGTAAATGTTATAAGTTGTAGCATAAGATTTGCCAGATTATACAAATAATAAAAGAATATGGATTAAGAAATACAGTAAGGAAGGATTACATGTCATCCAGTTGTTGTGGATTTTATAAGCTTAAAACCAATTTAAAAGATACACTGAATTTAGTTTTATTTGACGGGGGCAAGTAATGTGGTTACATTCGATAGATGGCGCTGTCGTGCGCTTCTTCATTGGCGACTTGGAAGCAGAGTTGCCAAGTCCGCGTACTATACGCGACTTTGGGCTTCTTTTTTTGTAAAGTTGCGTGAAAAAATCCCGGGTCGCGGGGTAGACGTAGAGGAGTGGGATGACTTTTTTCCTTTATAAGGTAGCCTAATTATTAATTTTTACAATGTTTTTGTAATGCATGGGGCTGTAAAAAAAAACAAAAAAACAACAACAACAAAAAACAAGTAGGCCTATACTAATATTAAGAGTAGATTTGGTTCGAATAGCCAATATTTTAGTAGGCTATAAATATGTGGCTATGTTACAGCTCCCCTTTGAAGCTCTTGTGTTTTTCTCCTTTTCCATCTGTCCAATCCTATTCTGCTCACAGGTGATTGGAGATGAGTTTTGTTCCTGCTTTGTTGCAGTTTGCTGATTTTTGTAAAATAACTTGTTTTATTTTTAAATAAAAACTTTTAAACTTTCAGTTTAATATGTTGCGGCTCATTTATTGGTAATAAATAATTTATAATAAATAATATTGATGATAATAAATTATAAAAAAAATATTGGGCTTGTTTTTGAAGCTGCGGTTGCTTATTTGTCTCGCGAGAGTTGGCAACAGTGCTTAGAAGGACAAAGCCTATTTATCTGGCTATCGTTTTAAAGCAGTTTTGCTGTATTTTTTACTCAGACCCTCCTAATGCCATCGATTTCAAAAAGTTCAATATACATAAAATGTTTCAGAAATTTCAAACCTGAGATTTCAGACTGTCGTAATCATTTGCGAATCTTAAGGCCGTGTAACTGCAGGACTTCGCCGCAGACAGGCTAACGTTGTCAGCCGCATTCAGCATCACAAACATGGATCAGCACGACTCGACGTTTGGAGTGCAGCTCTTCATTTGTGATCTGTCGAGGGGAATGGCCCGACAGCTCAGTCCGATAATGTTAGGTGAGTGGATACAGACAGTATATCTTTACCGTTACATGGGTGAGGGCCGCGAAATTTCCAATCCTACCATGAAGAAGGTTTAGCTCATTTATATTCCATCGTGCTGTCGTTGCCTGGTAACCTTCCAATGAGAAATCTTGGCTACTGAATATTAATGACCTAATGCTAACATTGATTGGCTTAGTTCTTGATGATTAATAATGTAATACTGACGTTTTGTCGTTACTATCCAATGGCAAATGGTTTGCTTATGAATATTCAAGAGCAGCTATCACTACTGGGATTCATTAATTCGCGTCCGTTTGCAGCTGATCGGCGAAAAAAACTTTTATCAACAAAATCTTTTATTTACATAACCGTAACATCTATATTCATCGAGACCTGTTTATGTGGTTCTCTCAGTTATCTAGAATTATTTGTAAAGATCAAACTGTTCTAGAACATGATGTTCTTTATTGTAATCAGTCACGTGCCGGAGTTAGCAATTATGATTATGAAGGTTCATTAAATTGAGCATAATGTAACTATTTGAGTGGTTCAAACCATAACAGTCCTAATACTATATCTTAATAATATAAACACAATAAAATCATTCATAACGTGTATGAGGAACATATGTAATACCTATAATATATATATATAATTGTATGATTTCTAAAACATATTCTTCCTTACAGGAAAACAGCTTGATGGGATTTGGTAAGTGAATTATTGTTATTTAATATCTGCCAATTATAGATTATGGTCTAGTTATATAACTATGTGCTTTTCCTGTATGATCATATGTCAAAACAGGCACACATCTATTGTGGTCTATGGAGAGGAATTCTTCTATGGTGGTGCCGGGATCTCTAGTTGCCCACCAGTAAAATCGCAACCCATTGCGACACTTTTAGAACTCAAGATAGGACAAGCACTTGAAAGCGTAGCCCAAAAATATACTTGGTGTACTCCATCCATATTGTGCTGTTTGTGAGCCCTCAGTTTACATGTTTATTGCCATCCATGTGAAGCTTTGAACAGCACATTTTAGCACATTATTTTTGGATTATAGCATGTTGAGATTAAAAGGCCTTGGAACATAATTGTTCTTAAGAGGAGCATTTTTTCTAGGGCGGCTACAAGGACACTATGTACCATACTGTGCATGTGTGTTTACAGGGTGGGACAATGCTCGGACCTCCAGACACAGTGGTGGAGCTGGGAAACACAGAGGTGACAGAGGAGATCTTTCTGGATTATCTGTCCTCACTTGGAGAGACAACATATAGGTGAGTGTGTGTATTTGACAGTTGTTTATTATTAAAAATAAAACGAGGTATTCCTTTCTTCCAGTATAAAGTCTTTGTACTGTATAAACATGTGCTTTATATGCATTGCTTGCATTTACTAAGCCTCTTTTTCTGGTTTGGTTTAAATCTCTTGTCTCTATCTCTCTCTGCAGTGGTGACAAATACAGATTGTTTGAACACAACTGTAACACGTTCACTAATGAGGTGGCCCAGTTTCTCACTGGCAATAAAATTCCCTCCTATATCACAGATTTGCCCTCTGAAGTGCTCTCCACGTGAGTACGCTATTTCAAGAAGATTTCCAGTGTTATTTTTATTTCCACCTGATATGTACATATTTAGTAACTACATTCAGAATATAAATAAATAGCTTGAGATCGGCACTGTACATTTTTGTTTCGAAGTTGTGAATAAAGCATTATTATAACAAGATTATTGGAGTAAGTTTTACAAGTAAGTTTCTTGATGTTTCTTTGTCGTTGTGAAAATTACTAGCAATTTCTGAGAGAATATTGTTTCCACACTATTTTTTTCAGTGTGTATCTTTATTATAAAAAGGTAAAAATACTGCTTTACAAAAGTATAAACAAAAACTAAAATGTCTGTATGCATTATGGTAATACAAATTTGAGGCAAAAGTGGTTAAATGTATGGAAAATAATGTGGCAATGCAAAAAAATCTTTGACACCTTCATGACGTTCAAAATCATCTTTGTGATTTTTATTCTGTGAATTTTTTAAATAATGTTTTTATCCATACGATTAAAGGAATAGTTCACCCAAAAATGAAATTTTGCTGAAAGCTTACTCATCCTCAGGCCATCCAAGATGTATAGGAGTTTGTTTTTTCATCAGAGAAGCTTTGAGAAATGTAACATTTCATCATTTGCTCACCAATGGATGCTCTGCAGTGAATGGGTGCCGTCAGAATGAGAGTCCAAACAGCTGATAAAAACATCACAATAATCCACAAATAATCCATACCACTCCAGTCCATCAGTTAACATCTTTTGAAAAGAAAAGCTGTGTGTTTGTAAGAAACAAACCCAGCATTAAGGCATTTTAACTATCGTTTCTGGTCAAAATACTAGTCTATAATCCATAATAATGTTTCCTCCATGCAGTGAAAAAGATCATCCCATGTTGCTCTCTCACATCAAAATCCACCAACATATTTATTCAGAACTGTTTTGGCTTGTAAACAGTGCTTGATCTGTGCATATTTCTCTCCTGATTTGACAAGATTACTTTTTTACTGGATAAAGTATTATTAGGGATAGAGGACTCATATTTTAGCCGGAAGCATTGGTTTGATGTCAAAAACTTGCTGAATTTGCTTCTTGCACGCAGCTTTTTTGCTTTACAAGATGTTCATTCAGTTCATGACGTTTTGTTGTACAATTCATGGACTGGACTCATGTGGATTATTGTGATGTTTTTATCAGCTATTTGGACTCTCATTCTGACGGCACCCATTCACTGCAGAGCATCCATTGGTGAGCAAGTGATGTAATACCACATTTCTCCAAATCTGTTCTGATAAAGAAACAAATTCATCTATATCCTGGGTGGCCTGAAAGTGAGTACATTTTCAGGAAATTTTATTTATTTGGTGAGTTATTCCTTTAAAGTCAAAAGGGCCCAAAACAACATTGGATTCCAATGACTTTCATTGTATAGACAGCAGCCACTAAGACATTTTCAAAAAATATGTCTTTTATGTATTTCATAGAGGTTCTGGATCTTTAACGTGAATGACAAAATTTTCATTTTTGGCTGAACTATCCATTTAATGGTCCTAAAATAGGCTTCATTTTCTTTATGCAGTTTATTTTCTATTGAAAAAGTGTTTATTTTCTAATGTAATGTGACCTTGACCATTTTTCTGTGAGTTTCACTCATTGGTGATCGTTTAACTGTGATATTCTCTCATTTTCAACTTTCAGCTGTCACAATTCCAATGCTGAAAATTTATGTAAGAAGATCTGCGTGATTTTCACAGTACTTCATGCTCTCTCTTTCTCTCTCAGGCCATTTGGTCAGGTGTTGCGGCCAATCCTGGACTCGATACATATTGCCCCTCCAGGCAGAAACGTGATCAGCTGCCAAAATAATCATGGCTAGATCAGCTTTGTAATCTCTCTCTCACACCTACACATGCAATAATTCACACATACGCTGTTTATACACACACATTAGCCCCGTTGTAAATGAAGTTGGCTCAAAACACCTCGTTCAAGAGCACGGAACAAAATTTCCTCAGTTCTGGTCCATATTCACAGTTGCCCTGATATTTTGAGACAGTTTTGCTTAAAGTGTTTCATGCACAAGGTCTGGGTCATTCTTTCCAGATCACTGATGGTTCATATTTTTCAGTGTTGAGTTCTTGGTTTCTTTGGTTTTCATTTTAATATGTATCTTTATTTTGTATCTCTACAGCCCACCACATGCAAATGTCATTTGTTGTTTGTTGATGACAATCCAACTTTTTTCCTGTTGTTAATTATGATTCCTTTCACATCATTTCATTCAGTTTTTCCTCAATAATATGTCTGTTAATATTGGCAAGCCAAAAGTTGAAAGACTATCTTTAATTTTAGTAACATATATGTATTTATTTTTGTGTGTGACTTTGTGGCAAAGAAGCACATGTGCTATAATATGACTTGCATTCTGAAGAAATTACTGAATGTGGCTTTAGAAATATATGTATCTGTGCCTTTGTCGTGGCAGCTTGGGCACAAGTAACATTTTTAACTAAACTAAACTGTAAAGTACAAATTATTTATACACATAATGCTTAAGGTAGACATTGTGTCTTTCATTTATTTAACCAGCTGAATGCTTTTATATATGCTTTACGCTGATTTTTATTTTCATGAAAGGAAAGTTTGCTGCTGTTGTCAGTGTTATATGGTTGAATGTGTGTGTTTGTTATTGGTATTTATTAACATTCCTATTTTAAAATTTATTTATTGAGGACAAATGATAATGTAATATTCAGAGATGTTTAATGAAAGACTATTGCCACTCTTATTTTGTTTTCATGTTGTTGTCATTGTCAAATTGTTACTGCAAACCCTAAACTGCACTGATTTTGAGCTTTATACTCATGTTTTAATGGAAGTTATCTCATCAAAGAACCAGCACTGAGTCTACATAAACGTGTGTGTGTTCTTATCCTCACTTTTCCAGCAATCTAAACAGACATAGTACATGATGCTACTTGTAAAAATTTATAAATCCAGTCGTACTTTGAAATTGAGTTCACAATTCTGAAATAAAACAATTAAATCAGAACTGTAGGTCCATTGACAAAGATGTTTAAATAGTTTTTCAGTTTTCAAAAAACATTTTATATATATATATGTATATATATGGAGAGCGAGAGAGATAGATAGATAGACAAAAATATTGTCTGAAAAATAAAAAAATATTTATAAAAATATAAATGCTCTGGTATTCAAGCTGAGGAAAAAAAGCCAAATCTGAGACGTTCTACACCGATCTCCAAAAATGGACTGGACAAAATTATTGGCACCTTTTCCGAATCTTCAGAATTAATTGCATTTCAAGCATGTGATGCTCCTTTAATTTGTAATTAAACTCACCTGTAGCAATTCACAGGTGCTGGCAATATAGAAATCACACTTGCAACCAATTAAAATGGGGAAAAGTTGACTCAACCTTTGTGCTGTGTGCCTGTGTACCACACTGAGCAAGGAGAAAAGAAAGAAGAGTAAAGAATTGTCTGAGGATTTGAGAACCAAAACTGTGGAAAAGCATGGACAGTCTCAAGGCTACAAGTCCGTCTCCAGACATCTTAATGTTGCCTTGGTCAACTTCCAAACAAATTCAAGCTGACATGCAGGCACAGGGTACAACAGTGACCGCTCGCACGATCCGTTGCCATCTGAATGAAAAGGGACTTGTAGGAGACCCAGAAGGACCCCACTGCTGACGCAGAAACATTAAAAAGCCAGATTGGAGGTTGCCAAAATGTACCTGAGGAAGCCAAAGTCCTTCTGGGAGAATGTCCTGTGGACAGAAGAGGCAGAAATAGAGCTTTTTGGTAAAGCACATCATTCCACTGTCTTCAGAAAACGAAAATGAGGCCTTAAAAAAAAAAGAACACTGCCCCTACAGTGAAACATGGTGGAGAATCACTATTTTGGAGTTGCTTTGCTGTAGAGACCTGCACTCCCGCGGGAATACCGCGGGACCCAACGCAACAGGGTGACTTCAAGCTTCTTTATCGTCAAAGGAACTTCATAAGCTAAAGAGAGGCTTGACTCGAATTATCAGACGAAGAGAGGAGGAAATTCAAAGGTGAGTTTTATGCTTGCTTTTAACCGAATCAAAAATGTACAACACCGTGTCTACACTGGACGCGACAAAGCGACTGTGTCATTTGAACTTTGTGTCAGTAAATCATAAATAGAACGCGGTAGCAGTTTGCTGTCGGGGATTTGTGCGCCATGGTGGTGTATTGCACCTGTTGAACAATACAGACAAATTGAAATGTTCTGTGTGATCTGCCTATCTTTCGGTCTCTGTTTTTAAAAGAATGTGATTACCTGATTCTGCCCTATCTCGAAGTCATATACATGTCATTCATTTTATTAGAGAACTCTGAAACTCAGCAAATGTGTCTTTGACTTTCAGATCATGAAGATGATGGAGAAACTGTCAGTGCTGGTCTCAGGGATAGTACAGCTTTTCTTGTAAGTAGTAAGTTACATTGATCATACTTATACAACAAGTCTGCCTCCTCAGCTGTGAAGCAAGTATCAGTACAAAAATTTGTAAAATTTTAATGTAAATAAATTTAAATTTTCCTACTTAAATTAAAATGAATATATACTAACATAGTCTTCTGTGGTCTGCAACACAAACACATCTGAGATTTAACTTATGTTTCATAAGCTTTACACTAAAAAACAAGTCATTCACATTAAATATGATAGAATCTTGCAGTGTAATATTGTCATTACACATGTGTATTTTGCATTTATATGCAGGTGAAGACTGTATCTACTGTTGGGGAGGATGCTATTTCATGCCCATGTGAAGACTTTGCAGGACCAGAAGACAACCAGTAAGTCTCTTTTGCTGATGTCTATACAATGGCAGCTAATTGTTAAAGGGTTATTAGTTCATCCCAAAATCAAAATCGTCATCATCACCCTTATTGTTCATCATATAAAGCAATTGAGTCTCTAGAACATTTGGACTAAACTGCTCTATTCATATGGATTAGTTTTACAATCGCTTTATGAATTTTAAAGCATCAAAGTGGTAGTTGCGTGGACTGTCAGTAGAGGGACAGAAATCTGTCAGATTTCATTCAAAAGATCTTTGTGTTTTGATGAGGAACTAAAGTCTTACGGCTTTGGAATGACATGAGGGTGAGTAAACAATGACACATGGCATCCATGTGACTTTTTCACCTTATTTTTTAGTGAACATCTTACCTTACAGTAGCCCTAGCTCTATATTGCACATTCAAGAGTGCACGAGAGAAGCCTGTTCACCATGGGCATGCTTAAATACATATGGTCATGTAAAATACTTAAATACTCAAATGTGGGAATTGTTATTTTATACAGTGGCAAACAAGAAATACCATTAATTGTAATGAACTCTTCTTTTCTTATCTGCATTTCTGTTATTCCAGGAAATTGGCCCAATGCATGCTGTAACTGATTGAAGGTGTTTCCAGGATTCCTTAAAGGGTAAGTTCACCCAAAAATGAAAATT